CCCCAAAACCCCAAAACCCCAAAACCCCAAAACCCCGTATGAGTCACTTCAAATTGAAATAATTTTATAAATTTTGAATTAAAATAAAATAAAAGAAATGGCATTAAGTCAGAGCAAAATGCTGGAAAACATCACGCATAATAGTACTAAGCATAGAGGTGAAGACGTGAATGGCCCACAGATCGTTTTCGATAAGAACTTCTTATGCATGAAATCAGTGAAGGATGCAATCTCTACTGACCAAGTTACTTTCAAAAATGTAGGCTCCACTACTATTTATTATGAATGGAGGAAAATTGAAAGAGGAGATTACATTAAAGCCAAGAATTCTGATGGCGTGAAGAGGTTCTTTGGTATCACTATCAGAAATAAGCTGATGCCTAAGGAATCTAAGACCTTTACTTTTTCTTTTAGGTCAACCACTCCAGGTATGTTTTTAGAGGAATGGGAAATCTTGACTGAACCACAATGCCTTGAGCCCCTTAAGGTGCTTACACTTAATGGAATATCAATTGAAGAGGAGACAGAGCTTGATGATATCACTCAGTTTGATAATGAAGTATCAACAATCAACCAAAAGAACTTTATTGATGAGATCATGCAAGATATTGTTGACCAGGTCAGGACTCCAACTCCTCCTCCAAAAGACTTATATAAAGAAGAAGAGTATGAAACTCCTGAAGAAAGGACCTCTTTCCTTAAAACTGAGTTTGAAAATGTTAACCACAAGTATAACCTCTACTATGGCGAATATGAGATCAATGCTTTTAGAGAGCTCATTCAGGATACTCATCAGAGACTAGGAACTGAACCTGAAGATCTTTGGGATGGATCTGTAGACTATATCTTCAACTTGATATCGAAGGTAGAGTTCCCAATAGCAAGGGAGAACTTGTTATTGACCTTCAATCGTCTTGTAAACAATTGTAAATAAGATGCCTCCGGAGAGGTCTGAGTCATATTCTGATCTCAGAGAAGCCGTTCTTAGGATCTGTGACACCATTCCTGATCTAGACGAGCACTTCAGAGAAGAAATTGGCATTCCTGAGTACACTTTCGAATATCTGACTGATGAGATGACTGAAGAAGAAATTGAGAAAATGAACGAAGATAAAGAAGCCAGGAAGTCAGAATGGATGAAAAGGAAAAAGCAAAAGCCTAAATCTGAAGAGGAAGAGCAGCAAGATTTCGAACAACTCAAGCAAAGTATTTCTGATGGCGTCAAACATAAGATTGTGGGGGATGATTCTGTAGTTGGGCATATTGAAGAGACTATTGAAATGAAGACTCTTCAGAAGTTCCTTGATGAACATGTTATTTTGACGAAGGAGAAATGGGATGAATATTATAGGAAGAAGTCTGTCCTTGACATCGGATGTGAAGGAAAAAGTGTACTACTGAGATTAGACCTTGATGTTCCTCTCTCAGAATATATTTCTCCTGAAGAAACTTCAATACTTGAAAAGGAAAGCAAGCAAGGTGCCAAGATAGCTAAGGATCAAGCTCCTCCTTCGACTTATCGGTCTGAAGCTATGAAATCCAATATAAATTCTTCCACAAAGAAATCAAGAGTTGATGATACTCAAAGAAGTAGGGAGAATCAGAACTCGACTATGAAAGAAATTGACATCCTCAGTAAGAGACAGATCATAGACTCCACTAAGATCAAGAAGGCTTTACCTATGATAAAATACATGATTGAAAACCTAGCAGTGAGGACATTTGTGATCGGAAACCTTTCTGAAAAAAGTGGCAAGGTCAAGCCAGAGAACACCATGAAGCTTGTGTGGAACTCGATTTCCAATAAAGTAGACCAGCCAGTTCAATTCCAAGAAGAATACACCTATGAAGATGACTCTGAAGGAGTCTACATCCTTGAAAATCTTAATTTTAGACCTGAAGAATGGGGATTCATCGAGCCAGAGCCTGAGCCAGAGGTTGAAGAAGCAGAAGGCGAAGGAGAAGGTGATCAAGAACCAGAAGTTGATGATAAGAAGAACAAGAAATCTGCTAAAGACAAGAAAGCTGAGGAAGCAAAGAAGGCAGAAGAAGCTAAGAAAGCAGCAGAAGAAGCCAAGAGACTTGAAGAAGAGAAGTTGAAAGAAGAAGCTGAAGGTGAAGGCAAACAGGAAGGTGAGGGTGAAGGAGAGCCTGAACAGGAAGAAGAACAAGAGCCTGAGCTCACTTTTAAGGAAATTGAAGCGTTCAAGAGGCAATTAGTAAACCTGGGAGAAATTTATATAAATGATGCCTTAGATGCATCTCTGACTCACTCAAATACTGTTGCTGATTTGAGAACTGAGACTAAAGTTATGGGCCTCAGAATGACAGAAGAAGTCCGGAAGCTAGGAATGTTCTTCATGTATGAGTACTCTCCAACTGTCGTTGTTATTGGAGGGTCGTTTAAGGAAAGCATCTCAGATAGAATCCTTTTGTTCAACTCATTGCTTCATTGCACAGATGTAATCTTCCCAGCAGGAGCATTTTCGCTATATTTCTTAAAATCTTTAGGTGTGAAACTTGGACCACAAGACCACTTAATTGACGATAAATACCTTGATATTTGTAAAAATCTTCTTCTTAAGGCTCACGAGAAAGGTGTGAAAGTTATCCTCCCTACTGATTTCGTAACTCTAGTAAAGCCAAGGGTGGGCCAAGAGGATGAAAATGAAGAGGAAGAAAAAGAAGAAGAGAACCCAGATGAACAAAACCCTGATGGAGAAAACTCTAAAAACCAGCTATTAAAGAAGAACACAATTGAAGCTGTAGGAGAGGTTAACTGGATCGACTTGATTTATGAAGATGGGGTCCAAAGTGTTGATTTCTCAGAGTTCATCAACAAAAAGTTAGATGAATTATATAACCCACCAAAAGAACCAGAGCCAGAACCTGAACCTGAGAAAGAGGTTGAAGAAGAAGGCAAAGAAGACCAACCAGAGGAAAATAAGGAAGAAGAGGGGGAAGATGACAAAGTTGAAGAGAAAGAGCCAGAACCAGATCACCAATTAGAAAATAAAGCATTCATTTTGGAATTTGGTTCAACAACTGTTCAATCCCTTCAGGTATTCACTAAGGACGCAATGAAAATCTTCTGGGATGGGTCCATATCAATTTATCCAGATACCTTAGCACAAGAAAATAATAGGATGCTGACTCTAGAACTTCTCCGTATTAAGCAAGAAAATGAGGATAGAACTGAGCCGAAATACTCGCTTATTCATGGAGAAGAAACAGAAAATGTTGTGGCTCAATCAGCTACAAAGATCAAGCTAGATCAGCTGGACAACAAGGATCAAGATGCTAGTATTGGAGATGGCTATAACGAAAGTGGGTCAATGACCAGTACATTCCAGGCGGATAATTCAAACCCTGCCATATTCGTATGCTGCGAGGGTAGATTCACTCTGGACCTTCTTCAAGGAAAAGAGAACAGATGCTTACTAAATATGGATGAGCATCCAGCCTTAACCAAGGAGCAAATTGAAGAAGACTTAGCATTATTGTAGGCTAATAAATTTCAAAAATTTAAATTTTGAACGGGGTTTTGGGGTTTTGGGGTTTTGGGGTTTTGGGGTTTTGGGGTT